TCAAACACTATCTTTATTAAATAATTTAAAATTGTGACTAAGCGTTTGAGTGTGCGGGCCTGGTTAGAAAAAAATGAATCACGCCAGATTATGTGCTCTCTTTCAGAAATTGTAACTAAGGTTTACTCAGCCTAGGTGCAGTATAAACCACAGGTGGAGGTCTGTGGATCGAGCAGGTGTCTGTAATATGAATTTGCCAGCCACCTTGGAAGACTGGCATGCTTGGAAACAAGTAGCCAGCCATTTTATATATTTATATATATATATATATATATATATATATATATATATATATATATATATATAACTAGACTAGTTTTGAAAAACCCTCAAATTTTGATTTGCTAATCAAATCAATCTCGAGGAAAAAAAAAGGTTTAAAAAAAAAGAAAGAGCTACAAACATGAACTTCTGCCGACAAAAAATCGCACAGATGCAGGTCTGAAGCCCAAAAAAAAAAAAAACCCGATACGAAAGTAACAACTAACTAACAAAAGAGCTCAATACAACCGTAGAGCAGACCTAGATACACCTAGTGAGCCAGACAAACCTACCTAGGTTTCACCTAAATGGATCGTCAGGAAAGTTTGCCAAACTTTCCTGATGATCCGTTTAGGTGAAACCTAGGTGTATCTATATATATATATATATATATATATATATATATATGTGTGTGTGCAGATGTAGCCCTTGAATTCTGAATATACGTTATTTTATATACAAGATATAGTTACTAATATGCACATACACTTATAGGTTATATGTACATATATGTACCTGCATGTTTTTCTATCTACCTATATCAATAATGTGCAGAGACATTGTTGTATATCTTACGAGTTGAGATGTCTGTGTATGTATATATCTGCTTATGCACATACTAGAACATATATTTTGATGCCCCAAATGAGTAAAATATATCAGTATAAACATTTATAAAACTACTTTAAGCCATTTCAATGGACATAAAAAATTATTAAAATTTTAGATTTCCTTATATACGTTTTTGTGTTTGTGGAGATGGATGGATGTATATATACATATGTATTGCAAATAGATCCTATTTTAGATGTTCTGTCTTTGTGATAAAATTCTGGTAATAATCGTAAAAAATAAAGTAATTTTTCATCATGTATCATATTATATATATGTCTTATTCAAACCTTTTTGAGAGCATATATATCACAAGTCAAGGTTGCAGAAAATTTATAAAAAATTTTAGAAAAAGAATACTGAAAAAATATCTAAGAACTCAACTTAATGTCTGTTGACTGTTATATAAAAAGAGAAAGACTGAATGAAAGTGAAATCTGACAGATTTTCCTTATGTGACAAATGTATTGTTATGACAGCAAACATACACACAAAAAAAATCTTATCTTTCTAGTTCTTTCTTTGTTCCATAGTAATTGTTACATTTAGTGTATGAAATATATATGCCAATATAATAAAGTGGAAAAAGTTTTTGTGTGACACATTTTGTAAGAGGAATTTACTTTATCACCTGTAAGGATTGTCAGAAATAATATATTGGAGAAACCCAAAGAAATTTAAATAAATGATTATATGAACAAAACAAAAAGATATATGAACAAAATAAAGATATTTAAAAAAAAAAAAAAGATATTTAAAAAAAAAAAAAAAAAGATATTTAAAAAAAAAAAAAATATATTTAAAAAAAAAAAGATATTTAAAAAAAAAAAAAAAAAAAAAAAAAAAATGAAACAAATGCATTAGTTGCTCACCATAACGAGACTGACTACAATTTTGATATATTAAAAAAAAAAAAAAATGCTACTCTAATTAAAAAAGAAAATAATTCACGAAGACGAAAATGTTTAGAAAGTGCTTTAATCGCTAGTTCATCCACAGTAAATTTACGTCCAGATTTTTATGTTTTATCAATCTTAGCAGATCTTGTTTCATCAAAATGTGGAATATTTAATAACAATGATGAGAATAAAAAGAAAAAGAATCTAAATGAAGTTGTCTAGATTATTTACCCAAAATGAATAAAAAAATTTTTTTTTTCTATAAATTTAAAATTCCCAGTGTCTCTTAGTCATGCACATGTGTAGTCACATCAATATAAACAATCCTAGCCTGATGAAGTCCTAAGGGATGAAACATCACACACAAAACGTTTTCTACTTAGACATCTTTCCTCTAATTGATATACCGTTATCCGATATGCCCAATGTAACACCTATTATGGGACAAAGATAGTAGAGTTTAAATTTATCAATGTTTCATCTTTATTTTTTCAATAATCTTGTAAAAGATATAAACACTTTCAAGTCTTGAATAAGGTTTACTCAACAAATGTGATACAAGACAAAGAATAGAAATGGAGCATAAAATGAATTTATTAGTGAAAAATAACTATTAGCAATTGTTATAAATGATAATTAGGATGATTAAATTTGTTAAAAATAATTATCAATGATAAAATAAATTTTTATAATAGCAAATTGTCGCATGTTAATGATAAGAGATGATAATTATTATTTTCAGTAATGATGTGAAATATGAAGAAAGGGTGTGTCGGGGGGATAGATTTTTGAGAGGAAAAAAAGTTCTTACTCCTTGTAAAAATATATAGACATACACACTCACACACAAAACATAAGACAAACTAAACCAAAAATTTTAATAGGGAAATAAAGACACAGAAAGTGAAAAATTCAGCTGAAAAAAAAAAAAGAAGAAAAAAAAAAGGTAAATAAAAGCGTATAATTCTCGATATATTTTCTGTTTTTTATAAGGCCAAAGGAAATTTTTCCTAAAGTTGTAATATTAAAATCCATCCAGTAACTCTGACCTTACCCTCACAAAAAAAAAAAAAAAAAAAAAAAAAAGAAAAAACAAAAAAGGAAATTGTGTTAAAAAGATAATTTTTTTTTTTAAAAAAAAATCCTTTCCTTTTTGTCCCCACCCCCTCTCATTTAAATTTGTTTTTTTTTTAAATAGAAAGTGTTCCCATTGTGAAAAAAAGAAAATTTCCAAAATCTTTATAATTTTTGGAATGGATTAAACAAACTTCTTTCTTTTTTTTTTTTTTTAAAAATACAATCATTTCATGCCTCTTTGATTATTTTAATTCAAGTACATTTCTTTAGAGTTAATTAAATATGTAGACCAATAAGATAAAATGATACCCCACTGACTTGTTTTGTCAATGCAGATTTTGACAATAGTGATTTAAGCAACTTCAAATTTAAATGTTCAGCTTCCATTAAATTAGTATTGGCAGTTTTGAGATTGATAGCAATAACTGCTTCATACCTTTTTTCTTTTTCTTTTTTTTTTTTTTTTTTTAAAAAAAAAATCCCCCCCCAAGTTTCTGATTTTGTTCATTATAAAAAAAAAAAAAAAATAAAGAATTAAAAATATCTCAGAATAAATATCAGTTTCTGAAAAATTCCGGAAAAAAAAAAAGGTAATGTAAAAAAATCAGAATCCGAAGAGATAACACAGTTCAATTTTCTGTGAATAATAAATTCCAACATAAACTGAAAGAACAGGACCAGCAGATATTTATACTGTCCTTTTTACTTTCTTCATTTTTTTTTTTTTTTTTTTTTAGATTTCTTTGTAGAGTCAAAAGTAGAAACTAAATGTTCTGTTTCAAAATTTCTTACATTTTATAAAACACTTCAGCCCTGCTACAATGAATAGCAAATACATATTTTGCTAAAATCTTGTATTTCGTTGCAAATTTTTTCCTTCTAATATTTTTTATTCTTTTAACCCAAAAATGGCTTAGAAGGTTCTTCAAATGTTCCAAGGAGATTTGAGGGAGGAAAAATAAGAAATAAAAGTAAATATATATATGTATGTATGTATGTATGTATGTGTGTGTGTGTGTAGTATATACTGGCTCTATGTATAATTTACAGAATTTTTGTTTTTTTATGAACCTCCTCCTAAATTAAAAACAGTTTAACATTCATACCTACAAAAAAAAAAAAAAAAAAAAAAAAAAAAAAAGTCAAAAGACATCTTTCCTCTTGACAACGCTATTACTTATACTCTCTTGATAATTTGGGCACCTCAAGGCGGTGTAATGGTTGGCAAGCTTGTCTCGCTAGCACAATTATGAATGAGTAGTGAGTTCGATCCTCACTGGGTGCTTCATACTTTTGGCCTTGTGCCACATCTAAGCTACGCTTGGAAAAATTGATACTCTCTTGGTAATTTTCATCCTTTTAAAAAGCTATTTTTAGAATTTTATTAAAGCCCAATCATATGGAACTGGATATATGCATTCTCATTTTTTCTCAAGAAGTGACAACAAAAGTATTAAACCGTCTAATAAATAAATAGTATTTAATATTTTTGTTGTCAATTTTCAAGAAAAAAAAAATATAAATCCAGTTACACACAAACTATTTTAAAGAATTTATTTGATGAGAGGAAATGTAAACTGTCTGGAAAATATTTTCTTTTTTTCTTTTCAAAATTTCTAATTACAGTTGCTGACAGTTATAGGTTTATTTAAATTTTCTTGCTCTCTTGTTCAAACATTTTTTATAAATCTATGAATAAAAAAAAATGTTTTCATAGTTATTTCTTTATAATATGGTAAATAATAATAGTGATTTCTGGTTGGTTCATATATTTTTATAAACTTGTAAGTATAAAATAATTCTTGTAAATAAATAATTTAATAAAATAGTGTTTAATTCTTTAGTCATCAATTCTCGAGAAAAAGAGAATGCATGAATTCAGTTTCATAGGTTTGGGTTTTTAATAAGATTCTAAAAATAGCTTTTTAAAACAATAAAAATTGTTTAGGGAGTATTCAGTAATAGCAGTGTCAAGAGAAAAACTATTCTTTTAAAACACCATTTTTGGGAGGTTTTTTTTTTTTGCAGGTAAACTTTGTCAAAACCATTAAAAAAAAAAAAAAATATTAAAAACTGGATTTCTTTTTTCTCCTATTCAGTCATATATTTTAATGCCCTCACTGTGAATGGATAACCTAACTGGCCTTATCATCATTCACAGCATGAATCACTGAGTGACAAATTACTGGCTGATCCATCTTCAGGGGACTCCAAAGAACATGTTGAATAACTCCGGCACAAATCTCGATTTGATGTCACCGGAGCAGGGGCAGCAGCAGTGCTGGCAGCGGCCGCCTTGGCTTGGTTACTTCGGCTGCAGTTTTCCATGTGCTTCAAAGCTTTCATTGATGGCGGCTGATATTTCTTAGTTTTGTGTTGTTTCGTTGGAGATGCCTGAGGTGTAATGTCTGGATCTGAAAGAGGAGAGTAATTCTGCAATTCTTGTGGTAGATTGCTGATGTAATCAGCAATGTTGGCAGTGAGGGGTGGTTCAGAATTGGCGCTTGACGTTGAAAATTGGTCCAGAAAGTCAAACGCCGAAACTGCTTCTTCTTCCTGGTGACCAAATCTAGTAAAAAGCTTCTGGAAATTCACTGATGGACTTGTTTGGGCAGATGTCTTTTGCCGACCTGGAAAGATAATGCATACAAGTTTTAAAATAATCATTTTTAGTATAATGTGATAAGTTGGGTCTGTCCCTATATATAGGGTGTGTGTTTATATATATATATATATATATATATATATATATATATATATATATAAAGAGGGTGTGTGTGTGTGTGTGTATATATATATATATAAATATAAAAAAACTCATTTCACCCTTATTTCATCATTTGGAGAAGTGGTTTCATTTTATTTCCATCAATTTTATTTTAATAATCATTTCCCCAAACTAAGGTGATAAAGCCACTAAGATGCAAGGTGTTACCACATGTGGAAAAAAATCTTTAAAAAAAAAAAAAAATTAAGGAGAGTGGATAATAAAAGAACAGGAATTAAGGAAACAGAAGATGATGATTGATGCTGTATTTAAATTTTTGAAGATCAAATTTAACTGAAAAGCAAGAAGCCAGAAGAAAGTTCCACAAGTGAGAAGTGTGAGAAAAGAAACTGTTAGCATAGAATATATGGTTCCATTTAGCAATTTCAATTGTAAAACAATTAAACCCAACTGCCAATCTAGTACTGCGCTTAAATTCAGAAAGGTGAGGTACCAAAGAAGAAAGGTCAAAAGAACAATTACTATTATTTATAAAAATGACACAGGTATATATATATATATATATATATATATATATGTATGTAAAAATTCAGATATAAATAAAATATATATGTATAGACAATATAAATAAAAGACAAAAAGAAAGCCTTTTCAAATACCTCTTTTAAAAGAAATGTCAACATATATAATCATAAAAATTTGTAAAATTTACAAGAAAATGTTTAACTCTAGACCATTAAATATTTAAAATAAATTAATACATAAACAGTTGAAAAAATGAAATAATATATATAAATAAATAATAATTATATTAAATAAAAAAAATTTAACAACAATTACTATTTTTGTCTATTAGGCAATAAATTATATCACTTAGTGTCCTCCATAGATTACTTTTCTTTATACAGAAAGCTTTAAAAAATTTTTAGAGCATTCTCGAATTAAAAATTTGTAAACTTGATATTTTTTTTTTTTTTTTTTACACATTACTTATCTATGTAAATACAAATTATGAAATAAAATCTACATATTTACCTTGATAAAGTTCCTGAAGGAACGAAATGTCTTGGTATAGAAAAGTTTTATAGATATAGAGAGATATATATTGTAGTTTGTGTTTTTTTTTTAAAGGATTTATAACCATTATTGACTGGTTGACCCATAATTTATGAGTTTGTCTCTATTGTTTTAACCCAGCTAGGGGATGTAAGGATTTATTTATTTTTTAATGAGTACAAAAACCTCATACTCACCAGAGAAATAGTTCCTAGTGCCCAGTGAGGGTGGGGTTGGGAATTTGGGTAAAAAAAAAAAAAAAAAAAAAAAGGATGGGAAGAAAAAGAAAAAAAAACAAACAAAAAAGACCTTACACCCACTGCTTGGATAAAAAAAAAAAAAAATTAAAATAAAATAAAGGCAGAGGGTGGGGGGGGTATGAGGTAGAAAAAAAAATAAAGAGACCCTACATCCCTGCCACTCAGCTCAGATAAAAAAAAGAAAAAAAAGAAAAGAGACCATACACTGCAGCCACCCACCCCTGCAACTAGGTTTAAACAATATAAACTAACCTATACATAATATTGTATCCCCCTATTCAATGATCACATTTCCAATAATGGTCACAAGTCCCGTAAAAAAAAAAAAAAGAAAAAATCTATACATGTGCAAAACAACTTTATTTAAATGTTCCCCACCTCACAAAAAAAAAAAAAAAAAAAAAATCAACTCCATCTTTATTTTTCAGTGACATGCTTGAAAAACCTGATATTTTAATATTTTCGCATCATGCTGTTATTTTTTCTAATGGCCGAATAATATACAATAATAATTATTGCTATTATTGTCTTTTTCATATTTTTTTTCATAAGCCTAGCCCAGCATATATATATATATATATATATATAAAAAATATAGATAACTAGACTCGTTTGAAAACCTCAAATTTTGATTTGCTAATCAAATCAATCTCGAGGGAAAAAAGGTTTAAAAAAAAAAGAGCTACAAACATGAACTTCTGCCGACAAAAAAAAATCGCACAGATGCAGGTCTGAAGCCCAAAAAAAAAACCCCGATACGAGTAACAACTAACAAAAGAGCTCAAACCGTAGAGCAGACCTAGATACACCTAGTGAGCCAGACAAACCTACCTAGGTTTCACCTAAACGGATCGTTAGGGAAAGTTTCCCTGATGATCCGTTTAGGTGAAACCTATATATATATATATATATATATATATATATATATATCTTCCTGGTTTCAAATCCTACAATACCAAACAGCTCTAATACAGATGTAGATAAAACAAACAAGCGGACAGACACTCTCCAAATTTAGAAATTAAGAGGTGATAAGCTAAGATAATTAATTTTATTTCATTATTCTCAGAGATCCCAAGACATTTTCCTCACACAGTTTTGTCTTTCTTTTATTTAAACTGAGGAAGCCAAAGACAATATACATTTACGCTGGTGAAACATCTTTAATAAAATTTTCCACTTCACTTTTGTTTTGGATACTATTATACATCTTACAAACACACAAACATATATATAATGCAATGAACATATACTAAAATATTAAGAAAGAACAGTAAGATTTATAATCTGGTGTTCTTAGCAATTATTTTTATTTTAAAAAAATAAAAGTGCTCAATACAAAGAGTAGAGCAAAATATATATATAAATAAAAAAAAAAATAATAAAGAAGAGAGATGAAAACATACATTTTTATATTTGATCATTAATTCGTAATTAAATTCTAATATATTTATTTGTAAAAATACCGTATAATTTATTATTCATTAGAAGTATGAATGATACTTTAAATCTGTAAGAATAAAATTTAAATATTAAAAATATGACTTACACATATTTAAATGACCGTTTAGAAAATCTTTGTGTATAAAAATATGAATTAAGCAGATGAATAAAAATGCCAAGATTTTTTTTTTTGTCATTGAAAACCCAGCTGAATAATGGAAATATATGCTTGTTAGCAAACACCCCCACCCCACCCTAAACTTAACCTGACTATAAGTAACATATATTGGATATATAAGCTGTCTTTTTGACTTGCGGACCCCTTTATATTTCAGGCTTTACCTTAGGGACCCCCTTATAAACGCTTATGAAATTTATACATAAATATTTGCTGAATATAACATAATTTTGCATTAATGCAAATGCCTAACAGCCAATGAGAAAGCTGAAAATCGCAAAAATAGATCCAAAATTCAAATCATTTGGTTCCTTCTCTGCATGAATAGAATCCATTATCTTTAGCAATTTAAGATACAAATTATATTAATATATCAAATCTATGAAATAGTTTATTGAACTATTATTATAAGTAACTTATAGGCTGATTATGAAATAATCAGCCTATAAGTTACTTATAAGCGCTTATAAGTTGCACGTCACCCATAAAAAAGTGTTTGCTGTCCACGGACTCCCTATCTTGTCCTTGCGGATCCCTTGTGGTCCGCGGACCACAGTTTGAAAACCCCTGGTCTAGGGAAATTAAAATCCAACCACCCCTAAATTAAAATAGATTGAATTTTCCTTAACCTTAACAACTCATAATATTGTCTGTGCTTATAAAGAAAGTAAATTTTTTTCCTAGCATTGCTTGACAATTGAAACAAGACTATGGATTTTAAGTTTAATTTTTAAATTTATAAATTTAGTTCAGTTTTGAAACTTGGAAATTTTCTGTGTTGTAATGGAATCATTTTTAAAAAGAAAAAATAATATATAATACAATATTTTTATGAGATAGGTGATATATACTAATTAATGTCAAAAATAAACATTCATAAATAAGTAAATATCTAGTTTAATAAATAAAAAATAATAAATGCATAATAATATAAGAGTAAATATAGATAATCATCACTTCTCTTGTTTTTCTTTAAAAAGTTCATCACTTTCTCAAAATAATGAAAACGGATTTTTACATGTAATAGATATATGGTGGAAGCAGCTCAGTTCCTAGGAACCAACAGCCCAGACACCAGCACATCTGATTTGATTATAGTGGTGAAGGCTTTGTGCAGAACCAACCACAATTTTGTTTAAGGGCTGAATACAGAGACCTGGTACACTACGTGTCACAAGGTCCCCAAAAGATCCTCCATAGGTTTTAAATTCAGGGTTGTCCTTCTCCTAGACCAGTTGCCATCCAAGGCTATAGAACTGTCTTGTTATTTACCCATAGCTGGAGGGAGAAGAAAAGGAATCATACCTTTCCCAAGGATATTAGCACATAAGTGAATGTAATGGATTTGACCAAATTTTGAACTCAGCTCTGATTCCTAAACCCTAACTGCTATCCTCTACCCTACCATGCCTCTATTTTATAATATATATATATATATATATATATATATATAGATGCATGTTTCATTAAATAATATAGACAAGTTTTGTCTATTTTATGTAAATTCTTTTCATATCTGATAAATACACACACTATATATATATATTTATATATATATATATATATATGAAAACTCATGCAAAAAATAATACAAGAAAAAATGAAAGCAACAAAAACTGTTAGTTGAAGACTGCCAATATTGATTAAAAAAAGAAAAAAAAAGCAGAATAATTAACAAGTCAAAGAGAATATAATACAATTTGGAAAATAAAAAGAGTTAGTTTTGAAATCTCAATAAACAGTAGAGAAATCCTATTGTCATTAACACTTGCATTAATTTCTGACAACTGACAATCTTTCTTTTTTTCTCACATTTCTAGAGTAGGATCATGAGCCATGCACTTATATTCATTAGGAAATCAGCCAAAATCTGAATTTAAAAAAAAAAAAAAAAAAAAAAAGTATCCACAAAATACCAAGTATGGATTCATATACAGGGTACCCCCAACCCACACACACACACACACACAAAAAAAAAAAAAAAAAAAAAAAAAAAAAAAGA